GGTGCAGATTGAACAACAATGGCATCAAAAGTGAAGTTGAATGTGTTCACGTCAGCAAAGCAAGTAAGGATGATATAAATCTTTGTTTCACATAAATTCCGCTCAAGTTTTTACAGTTTTCAAAGTAAATCATATATGCATACATGATGATGAGTATAATCTGCTACCAACGTGACAATCTGATTTTGCAATTCTGTTTTACAGGCCAAACAACGAAATTTGTGGCAACAGGTGAGTTAATTAAAACTGGTATTTTTCGTTTGCTTTGTTTCATGTCTAGAGGACGATGGAAGATATGCGTTTGCTCAAGGATTGTATTTATTTTCAGGTGCAACCCTGGGTTTATCCATTCTTTTAGTACTGGTCATTGCACTATATCATGTCTATAGCGCTGATCGAAAGGAAAAAGAGAATCGAATAAAAATAGAAAGGTTTTTAGAGGATTACAAATCTCTCAAGCCAAGCAGATATTCCTATGCAGATATTAAGAGGATCACGAATGAATTCAAGGATAAGTTGGGCCAAGGAGCATATGGAACTGTTTATAAAGGAAAGCTTTCTTCTGAATTCTTTGTTGCTGTGAAAGTACTTAACAATTCTACGGGAAATGGGGAAGAGTTTGTAAATGAAGTAGGAACGATGGGCCACATCCACCACGTCAACGTAGTTCGTTTGGTTGGCTTTTGTGCTGATGGATTTAGACGGGCTCTTGTTTATGAGTTCTTCCCCAATGGTTCGCTGCAGGATTTCATTTCATCAGCGGACAGTAAGAACAATTTCCTTGGTTGGGAAAAGTTGCACGATATTGCTGTAGGCATAGCCAAAGGAATTGAATATCTTCACCAGGGATGTGATCAAAGAATCCTCCATTTTGATATCAAACCCCATAATGTTTTGCTAGACCACAACTTCACTCCAAAAATTTCTGATTTTGGTTTGGCCAAATTATGTTCCAAGGATCAAAGTATAGTGTCAATGACTACAGCTAGAGGCACCATGGGCTATATTGCACCTGAAGTGTTCTCTAGGAATTTCGGAAATGTATCTTACAAGTCGGATGTCTATAGTTTTGGAATGTTGTTGTTAGAGATGGTAGGAGGAAGGAAGAGTATTGGTGCAACCACAAATAACACAAATGAAATTTACTACCCAGAATGGATCTATAATCTTCTAGAAGGAGAAGATGACCTACGAATCCATATTGGGGACGACGGAGATGGTAAAATTCCAAAGAAACTTGCAATTGTAGGGCTCCGGTGCATCCAGTGGCACCCAGTGGATCGTCCGTCTATGAAAACAGCTGTTCATATGTTAGAAGGAGTAGATAACTTGACCATGCCTCCTAATCCTTTTGCCTCTGGAGGTCCTACAACAACACATGCAAGCATCCCAGCAAGACGCCTAGAGTTAGAAGCAATTGCTGAATTAGAGTAAAATGTGTAAGTATATGTATATGCACCAATGTAAGTAATATTAACTACACATGTGCTTGAACTTCATGAACATGTAATAATTCTAGCCTAAATTGAGGGAGTTGGGTATTAGAGACTTCATTCAAGGGACCTAAGTTATATTTTTTTATTGTTGAAAATTTGGGAATCCTATCCTTTGTAAATCAATTGGTATACAAGTTGTTGTCCGTTGTCCGTGAAAAAAGATATCATATCAATTGCTTTCCAAAACTTTGGAATTTTATTTACTCGTTAATGCTCTCTTTCAAGTTCTTAGGAGAACGAGGTATAAAAGTTGGGACAATGTAATTTCGACTACTTGGAATTTTGTAGTTTTCCTTTGAAATTTCATGCATTGAAATTTTGGAATTTCAAGTTTTAGGAGCATGCATTGAACTTTCAACAATTGGAAAAAATGAAAAAAGAAATCTCACCACATAGCTAAATCTCAATGATTTGGAAAAGAAAGAAATACAAAAATCAACGTGGTGGGGTACTCATTGATGCAAGACTTTCATTGGGAAGAAAAACTTGGAATTTTGGAGTTTTCCTCTATGTCTTTGTTGAATGGGAATCGGGACGCATGCGTTGAAATTTCAACAATTGGAAAATAAATAAATAAATGCAAATCTCACTTCATAGATGCTAAGACTTTCGTTAGGGGAAAAACATGGAGTTTACTTTTCAAGTCTTCAGTGGGAAAGTTCAACTGGACTATTTGTCCATTTTCCATTTGCATCTAACCATTGGTTTGGTCCCATCTGTTAAATTCAATCCATCTGCATCCGATTTAAGTCATCTCAATATCATTATTAATAACGCCATTTTCAATGGGGAGGATCAAATGTCAAATTTTAGAAATACAACTTGGATGGATAGGGTCAGGTGAAATATTAATCCAGTCCATATATTGGGTGGAATAGCGGTCTACCTTTTGCATTGACTGAAAATTGGTGGAGCCCAATCACACAAGCCACTTGCTCTTATGTGCAAAGTCAGATTTGTTGACCCATTGGGTTAGCCAAACATAAGGGCATGTGGATGTCATTTAATATTGTCGTTGGAATTAGATGGCCACAATTCAAATTTGTTTTTGTTTTTGTTTTTGTTTTTGTTTTTGTTTTTTTTTCAAATTGTTCTAGCTATACGATCAAAGGCCAGGATTAATCCTTAACAAGTTAAATGGAAATAAAATAGATCCAATGGTCAAAAATCAAATCCAAAGGTAAAAATATATATATATATATATATATATTATAAATCAGATGATACACCAAAACTCATCCCAAACAGAATAAATACTCATCCATTTGTTAAATAACCCATGAAAATCAATTTTTTCATTTCTCACACTTTGATATTTATGTTCATTCTCCTTTCAATCCTTTTCAATATGACCCCAATACCTATCAATCCTCTAACCTGCCTGTTTGGTTGGTTGATCAATCAGCCTGGTAGATTTTTTCACGGCGATTCGATCGTCATCTCAGAGTGTGTAGAGTTCCGCAGTCGCAAAGACCTTTGTTAGAATCTGACTGGGAGTTGGGCCAAGGAGCCTAGGAATTATTTTTAAAGGAATGCTCCAAATCCCATAATGTTTGGGACCTCTGCCGAATCTTCCATTTTGATATCCAACCCCATAATGTTTTGCTAGACCACAACTTCACTCCAAAATTTTCTGATTTTGGTTTGGCCAAATTATGTTCCAAGGATCGAAGTATAGTGTCAATGACCACAGCTAGAGGCACCATGGGATACATTGCACCCGAAGTGTTCTCTAGGAATTTTGGAAATGTGTCTTACAAGTCAGATGTCTATAGTTTTAGAATATTGTTGCTAGAGATGGGTAGGAGGAAGGAAGAATATTGGTTCAAGCACAAAGAACACAAATGAAATTTACTATCCATAATCTGCTAGAAGGAGGAGATGACCTACTGTTGAAAAATAATGCATATTTGGTGGATATTTCTACAAGCTAGCAGAATTTTCTAGGATAATTTAGAATGGGAAGTCGGTGGATGTATTCCCTAAACACTAGTCACTTACTTAATTGAAGCTGGTAGAAAGTTCTAGTTGAAGCTACAATATGTGGCTGGAATTACAACACTACAAGAAAACTTAGCTATGGCGACAAAACTTAAGGCGACAAACTAGCTACTGTAGGCGAAATGATACCAGGCGACGAAACAGTTTCTCTCCCTAGTATCATGAACGAACAGCGGGCTACTGTGCCGACCGCTTTCAGGCGACGACGTGCTGCCAGGAAGTTTCACGCGACAAAACATTTCATCGGGTTAAAGACATAGATGGGGCGACGAATAGATATTTCATCGGGCGACCAGCGTATTGCGACAACCGTTCCCGACGCAACTGTTCATCGCCGGAATTCTGTGCCGACAAACAAAGACTCCTGATTCTCGTGAGTACGGGGTAACTGTTCCACCGCCCCTTATATTTCGTGGTTTTTTTTTATTGACACATTAACACAGCAAGAGTTTTTTTATTTATAGTAAATTTGACTTACACCCTTCAAATTCAATTTGCCGTATCTAAAACCCTTCACTTTTTGTTCCTATAAATAATACCCAATTTGTATAAGTAAAAACCCATGACTAGGATCCCAAGTTACCTGATTAAGCATAAAATCTGATTTATTGTACTTTTCAGATTCCAAAAATACCCCCAACTAAGCCATTATTGCATTTTGTATATTAATGTAGGAATCAATATGGAAACATTTTTTAATTGGATTGTA